GGGTGGCTGCTCCACGGCACGGATGGGAGTCCCTGGTGGGTGTTCCCAGGATCAGCAAGGGAGGCAATGTTTGTTAAATACCCGGCGCCAGAGGAGGATGGGAACGGTGCGCGGGTGGAGCGAGACTTGGGGCCTTCTGGAGCGGCCACGGGCAGCACAGGGAGCGATCCCATTACCTCCAACCCCGGAGCTGGGTCTTGCCTCGAATTAGCACGAGCGCAGGGTTGTGGGGATCTCCAGCTGGCTGCCAACATATTGATGGTGGGATGAAATTTCGCTTGAAGAATTGTAAGGTAACTGGAGCAGAGTAATTCTCGCCTGAGAGCATCTCCTTTTTCCGTGCACAGAGTAGCCAAAAGCGGTTTGCGACTCCTCCCGATTCATTCATCAGGAGACACTCAGCCATGTGTTAGTGAATTGCTTTGTTCAGCGCCTGGGAGGGGACCGGACGGCAGCCGTTTGGGTTTGGTTGGTTGGAAGACTGACGGGGCGTATGGGCCCTTTCTGTACCCGAGTTTGCGTGTCCACATGTTGCGCAGCTCCATGTGAACTCCGAATGTGGTGGTCAGGAGTGTCTTTGTCCTGCAAGATGCCGCAAGGTGCCACCTGGCTTCCCTTCCTGGGACCCAGGGGATGGTGTCTCCTGGCAGGGTGGGGGTGCAGCCAAAACCGAACTCGGCTGGTGCCAATGCCAGAGTCATCCGAGGAGATCCTGGCTGCCTTGGTTACTGCTTGGGGCAGCTTGGCAGCTCTGTCTGGAGGAAAACCTGTGCATGCTTGTGTTTTTGTGGTCTGTGAGTTGAGACAATCCCTGTGGGCAGAGCTTGATCTGTGCGCTGAAGAGGTGAAATCTCTCCTGCTTGGTCTTGTCCGTCTGGGAAAGTCCCACTTCTGTGCAGAGAGGCTGTTGAGTCCCGCGCACTCTTGCAGGACACGTCGAGGATCGTTGAGATCCCTGCACTCTCCAGGCTGCTATTACAGCTGCCTTTCATGTCCTCGGCTTCACCTGCCCCCTGCTCGGCTCCCTTCTGGGATGGCTGTTCACAGGCTCTCGTTAACTGGCCTCCTTTCTCCCCCCAGCTCTTCTCCTAAGAAGGTTAATTTGCCTTATAACCCCTCCCAGCTCTACTTTCCCCATCCTATCTGGTGTGCGTATCAATTTATCCTCTTCATCACATGTCTGCTTGCTCTCCAGCAGCCCAAGAGCTCCTCTCTTTCCTACACTCAGAGACAGCTCTGCCTTTCCCCTCCTGCTCCATGAGGTTCTGCCTGCTGAAGCCTGGCCTGAGCACCAACATGTTTCTCATCTCGTTCTTTGGCACACTCGCGGTTTGCACGACAGCCTGGCCGCAGCAGAAGCCCAGCGGGTGTCGTTTCAAAGCGGAGTGATCTGCTGGTGCCCGCGATGCGTGGTGGGACCTCTGTCCACACCTCCTCCTGCTCAGGATCGTGTCCCAGGATGCACCGAAGCCCTGATCCCGGGTATAATCCCTGTGCTCTCCTTTCTCTGTCACACTCGCTCGCTTGTCAAAAGTGAGATTAAAATAACTTCGCACGAGCTGTTTTTAGAGATCTCCACTGGGTGTTGTGCACAACACGTTTTGGGATTATTTTCGTTTTTGAGGATTTTTTCCCCCTGTTCCCTCTCTTTTTCTCCTCCTCTCCAGCATTTGTTATCCACGCTTGCGCTTTTGTCACCAAGCCCTGCCTTGAACAGGTATTACAGTCTTCGGCTTGTCATCTTATGAGCTGTGAGGCCAAGTTAATCATAATCTGTGGTGCCCTCCCTCCGCCTTGCCCTCCACACGCTGCTGGAAGCATCGCCTGCTGCTTCCTCCATACCCCCTAAACATCTCCTGCGGACTTTTGGGGTGATGACTGCTGTTGTTCCAGAAGAAAAGCAAGTGGTGAAAGGTTGTTTTTCCAAGACCTACTTTTATCCCTTGGCAGCATCTCTTCAGCTCTGACAAGGTATTTAGGATTGGAGAAGAAACCATGTGCTATGACAAAGCCCAGGACCAGCACTGAAGGGTTGTGACCTTCCCGTCAGGGCATGGAGATGTGACATGACACCGTGTCCATGCTGATGACACCTATCACCCTCTTCGCATGCCGCTGGAGGATCCCTCCTGGCCACAGACATGCCTGCCGAGTGTCCTGTCCCTCCCGCGTGCCCATCTTCACCTGCAGCGATTCTCCTTGTGATCCATCATCGCCCGGCCCCTGTGCTTGCCAAGCACACCAGCGTGGGAACAGCCCTTTCCCCTTGTGGCTGACAGCTCGCGTCTTGGACACTGGCTGTGGGAACCTGCACGCTGTGGCACGAGGACACTGCTGGCTTCGGATACAGAAGCAGAGGTGTCCCTCCTGCAAGCGTCCCTCTCCTCAGGCTGCTGTTGCAGAGGCTGTTCCTGCCTCCCTGTGCACCCCAAAAGACTCAACTGGGCTTTTACCCCTTTCAGCTGTGAGTGAAGGATCTCCCTACAGACCAGGAGGCCCTTTGGGACCCACGAGCCTAAAAAGCAGAGCCGAAAACTGACGAAGAGCCCGGGCATGCTGCGGGGACCTGATCCTCTGGCAAATGGCCGTCAGCATTTCTAGGACCCTGGAGGGTCGGCCTGAGCTGTTGGCTGGGAAACTTATAGTGGCAGCTTCAAGTGCGGGCAAAGCTTTTGCCTTCTCTTGAAGCAAGAAACATAATCAGGTCGAGATTTGTCCTTGTGAAAAAAGCCCTGCTCCCTCGTGGAGCCCCCTAGGCTTTCCAGAGCGCTCCCCGAGGGAGCGTGCAGCCTTGTATGATGATGTTGGTTGAGTGCCAGAGCCTTTCTCTGTGAGTGGGTGAGGACCGGCGCTCACAGGGCATCACCCTGCCTGAGCTGAGCCCAGAGGTCTGCCATGATCTCTCGTCTCTCCCTTACCTCAACCTTTTTGCACCCAAGTGCTGGGTGAGGCTCCAGTCCCCGTCTCCATCACCACAAGCTCTCGTAGCCCAGATGCCTAGCCAAGGCTGAATCAATGGAGACCGTCGGCAGAAATGTGTCTGGGAAATCAACCCGAGCCTGTGCTTCCCATCCTGGAGGCTCGACCTGTCCACAGCGAATGCTTCAGCACCGCTTCGAACCATGAAACCCCAAACTCAAGGTGACAGAGACGGGGCTTTGCCCTGGCCCGTGGGCATTTCGGAGGCTCACGTCGGAAAGTGGGGTTCCCACCTTGGAGTGGGTCCCACTTTTATGTCTTTCCCTCTGGAATAAAGGGGGATGAGCAAATTCCCCCGTGTGCACAAGACGGGCTGCAGAGGTTAATTAATTATTGTTTGCAAAGCACTCAGCGCTGTAGTGATGCGCACCACAGAAAAACTGGCGCGGAAATGAATAATTCTCTCTTCCCAGCAGGATGGGAAACAGTATGCGGTAAATAAAGTGAGGGCCGTGCATGGGGCGGGGAGGAGGAAAGGATCCCCGGGCTGGCACTCATGGCAGCAGCTCTGCTGTCTTTCACTGGGAGTTGTCTGCACACGAGGGAGATTTGGTCTTGTGGGTGTTTCCCACCTGCTCCGTGGCTCCGTGGGGTTTCCCTGGGGTCTGCTGATTGTGGGGGACAGTGGTAGGGCACCAGAGGAGGAAGGGGATTTGGTAGGGAAGGGAGATGGAATGGGTTTTCCTTCTCCTGGTGCTCTGGGATGGAGATGGGGGGATGCCTGATAAGCCATGAAGCCCTCCAGCATCCGTTCATCCCTCTGTTGCCAGGTTGGCTCTGGTAGGGACATACCGAGTGGGGCCTCGCCATGTGCGCTCGGCAGTGATGCTGTGAGAGCACAGCTTGCCCTGAAGCCATGACCAGAGAAGCTCGCAACTTGCCAGTGGCACTGTGGGGACATTCCTCTTGTTTCAAACCCAGAGGAGCAGCAGTGAGCCTGGAGGGTGCTCTTGCCACCGGCTTGGGCTGGCCAGGCCTGCTGACCCACGGCTCGGCTCGGCTCGTCTGCTGAGGCGACAACATTCCCAGGGGAGCTTGCTCTTCCCCCGCCTGCCCACCCAGGGTTGGGAAGCCCACGAGCAAACTCTCAGCGGCTCTTCCTCCCCTCAAAAGTGGAACTGTGCAATTAAAAGGAGAACAAGCACGCCTGTCTAGCTGGAAAAACTAACGCCTTCCCTGAGCTGGAATATTTTACTGGCTCTGCTCTCCCAGAAGGATTAAGCCCCAGCCACCCCCTCCCGTATTAATTGGTTCCTTTTCTTTGCACTGCAGAGAGACGCCTGGCTCTGTAACTTTAATGGCTGCCCGTGTTTTCCCCTCCAGAGCTGTTGAGCTTCCAGGGAGGTTTGAGTAAATTGTATTGTCTGCCTTTATTGATGATTTTGCAGAGAGGCCGATGAATGACATAAATCTTCCTTGCTGCTGGGC